TAGGACGATCAGGTGATAAACCAAAAGGATGATTGAAAAAGACATGGTAAATCGAAATCGCATGATACATTTACGTGCCAGATGATTTCTTCTTACGTCCACGCATGTCATAGGTCGCCACTCTTGGCCTACCGCTCTGAGAAATCTGGGATCGAATCCGGGAAAGTCGAAAAACCCCAGAAATTTTTCGGGGTGGTCTCTCCCAGATACGCAGAACTCCGTTCCTTACCGCCCAGCTGCTCATTGCGGGCCTGCCCAAATCCACAATGGGTTTACAAAAGTTCCTCTTAGTGTCCACAAAAATAAAACAGTATAAAATTAAAACACCGATAAAATTAAAGCTAGCAAAATAACTTATTGTTTGTGTACTAAATAAAAAAATTTCAATTTGGAAGACAGAATTAAAATTAATAGTGATTTAGATTGGACGACCGGATGGCCGAGATGATTAAAAGGCTTATTGCTCTAGAGCAGTGATTCTCAAAGTGGAGGTCGTGTAAAATATTTCGGGGTCCCAGAAAAATTGATGACAGATCAATTTTCTTTTAAATATTTTATAAATTTACTATGGATTCGTGTTTAGAAATAGTAGATTCTTTTTGGCTTAGTGTGAAAGCAGAGTATCCACTACTCTCTGAATTAGCAATAGCAGTTCTCTTACCATTTGCAACCACTTATTTATGCAAAATGACATTTTCAGTAATGACCAACACCAAAAGAAAGCAGCGCTCTCGTCTTTGCAACATAGAAATCGCTAAGATACCTGCACTGACTGATATTAAACCCAAGTTTAATTTATTTTGCCAAATAAGCAGGCTCACCCATCACATTAAATTTAATTTAAAATATGTTTAACTTAACTAATTAAGTTTAGTAATGTTGAAACATATACATATTTTGTTCAAAGATGTATCAAAGATAAGTTTTTAATTTTTAATACTAAAAATTACTAAAAATACTAAAAATAAATCTGATAATGATACTAAAAATAAATCTGCTATTAAAATTATGATTGTTTTAATGCAATTAAACAAAAGAAATTAACTCCTTCTGAATTTAAATTAATTCCCCCTTCGGGATGTTTTTCTACACATACCCATTCTTCAGGGGGTCCTTTGAAATTTTTAAGTGCAAAAGGGGGGTCGCGGACTAAAAACTTTGAGAAGCACTGCTCTAGAGGACTCGCGATCGAATTCGAGCGAGCAACTCCCCAAGAACTTTTCATAGGCGATAGGTCTAAGTCACGGATATATCAAGCCCGGCCCTTTACCACCCAGTCGTTACTATTCTGGGCCTGGTCGAATTGACAACGAGTATAAAAAAGTTTTAAAAAATTGACCTTGATACATGCAACACTAAGCAGCCCGAGATGAGTACTGTTAAATCGTTAGAAATCTAAAGGAATTTGCATTACTGAAAAGCCAAAAATTTCCATACAAACTGTTTCAGTTTTCAACTGTGTTGAAACTCCTGATGATATACCGACCATCTGCAAGGATTGAAAAAAATGTACATTTTCCTGTTATAAACATAGCAAGCAAGTAACTGTAAATATACAATTTTGAAATTAGTAACTTAATCATAGACTTTCATTGGGTTCTTTGCAAAGAACCCAATGAAGTCATAACCTGTTTGGATGACTACAGAAATAGCAATGTCTCGTTCGAAGCTTGCTTTACTCACACTAACAATATGGTATAGTCGGATATTCATGAAAATAAAATGTTACTGGCATATGTCTTTGTATTGTCTCTCCTTTCTCTTTTTAAAAATATCGAATTCTATTGAACATGTGTATTTCTTGACTACGTTGGGAAAAATGTACAAGCGCAAAAAAACATTAATAATAAAGGAATATTAAACAAAAAATTTTCTACAAGCATTATGTACTAAGCTTATCCAGAAAGTAAGTATCGTTTGGGTACCGGTATTAAAAAAAAAATTTGCAATTTGTTTTCATTTGTATTTTATTACAGAAAAATCTACATACCTTAAACTACTTTTCGACATATTCACCACGACAATTAAGGCATGTGTCATATCTTGGCACTAATTGCAACATACCCGCTTCGTAGAATTCGGCCGCCTACGACCTGAACCAGTTCAGGACGTTTACCTTGATCTCATCATCATGTGCAAAGTTATGAGATCTACAGCTTAATGTGAGACATTGAAGAAGTTAAGGTGCGCGATACAGAACAAAAGGCGTGGACTACTGACTTCTGGCATTTTGTTCGTGCATGACAACACGCGACCGCATACCGCACGCGTAACGACGACGATGCTTGATTCATTTCGCTGGGAACAATTCTGTCACTCTCCTTATAGTCCGAAGCTAGCTCCATCCGACTTCCATTTGTTTTCTCATCTCAAGAAATTTCTTGGCGTCCACCACTTTGTCGGCTGATCACTGTCATTCTCCATCCGGTGAATGACGGTAATCAGCCGACATATCAGGTCGGACAATCCCCCGAAAAATTCCTGATGATTTTTCAACCACGTTCGGATTCGATCCCGAGTCCCTAGAGCGGTAGATTATCACCTTGATTCAGCCGTCCGCAGTATTATACTGGTGCCTAAATAACTGACGTACTTTGATTTCAAACAACACTAAACATTTCTGACACAGATTCCCGATATTTATGCAAAATGTCGTTCAAATTTTCAATTATAATTTAGTACTGTATTAATAACATATTGACAAACTGAGTAGCCGTCCATCCAAAAGGATGATTGAAAAAGACATGGTAAATCGAAATCGCATGATACGTTTACGTGCCAGATGATTTCTTCTTACGTCCACGCGTGTCATAGGTCGCCACTCTTGGCCTACCGCTCTGAGAAATCTGGGATCGAATCCGGGAAAGTCGAAAAACCCCAGAAATTTTTCGGGGTGGTCTCTCCCAGATACGCAGAACTCCGTTCCTTACCGCCCAGCTGCTCATTGCGGGCCTGCCCAAATCCACAATGGGTTTACAAAAGTTCCTCTTAGTGTCCACAAAAATAAAACAGTATAAAATTAAAACACCGATAAAATTAAAGCTAGCAAAATAACTTATTGTTTGTGTACTAAATAAAAAAATTTCAATTTGGAAGACAGAATTAAAATTAATAGTGATTTAGATTGGACGACCGGATGGCCGAGATGATTAAAAGGCTTATTGCTCTAGAGCAGTGATTCTCAAAGTGGAGGTCGTGTAAAATATTTCGGGGTCCCAGAAAAATTGATGACAGATCAATTTTCTTTTAAATATTTTATAAATTTACTATGGATTCGTGTTTAGAAATAGTAGATTCTTTTTGGCTTAGTGTGAAAGCAGAGTATCCACTACTCTCTGAATTAGCAATAGCAGTTCTCTTACCATTTGCAACCACTTATTTATGCAAAATGACATTTTCAGTAATGACCAACACCAAAAGAAAGCAGCGCTCTCGTCTTTGCAACATAGAAATCGCTAAGATACCTGCACTGACTGATATTAAACCCAAGTTTAATTTATTTTGCCAAATAAGCAGGCTCACCCATCACATTAAATTTAATTTAAAATATGTTTAACTTAACTAATTAAGTTTAGTAATGTTGAAACATATACATATTTTGTTCAAAGATGTATCAAAGATAAGTTATTAATTTTTAATGAAACTAAAAATAAATCTGCTATTAAAATTATGAGTGTTTCAATGCAATTAAACAAAAGAAATTAACTCCTTCTGAATTTAAATTAATTTCCCCCTTCAGGATGTGTTTCTACACAAACCNGATCTTCATAATTGACCACTAAAAAAAAACACCGTAGGTAAATAAATTTAATCTTATAAATTCATATAATAACACAGTTTGCCTGACATATTAAAAATAAGGGAGAACGTAATAATTGCTCCTTACATATGTAAAAATAGATAAATAATCTCAATTAAATTGTGATTTAGAAAGAAGTTGGAATTTTATTATTAATTAATTTATATAATAAACGAAAATCATTTATTGTTAATTGATTATTTTATATTTTAATTAAATGTTTAAATAGCAATCAATTAATTTCGGAAGTAAATTAATTAATAAGTCTGTTATTAATGCAAGATTTAAATACATTTTTAATTATTTTTTTCTAATTAAATTCGAATATATTTTGTTAATTGAATTTTTCTATGTATCAACTTTCACCTTTAACTACATTAACATATGAAAATGTATGTGATTCCATCAATCAATGAGCGAGTCATCGACTCGCTTATATATCACGAAAGAATTATCTACACATGTACTAGAAAAGTATTATATTTCTTTTATAATTTCTTCCATTAACGATTTAAATATAAATTATCAAATTTACCTCACTTATATTTATAAATTGTTACGTAAATGTCTATATGTAATGCATCGATTGAATTATATAACATAAAGTTATATCATATTTTTTTACGTTTCTGCAGTAATATTATCGTAAAATAATTAACTAATACGTTATGAAAGAATATATACTTATAATTCACAAGGAAAGAAATATATATATTATATTTATCTAACTTTAATGAAGTGGAGAATGAGAGCTTCTCCGTTTGATACGCACTTCGAAGCAGCTGGAAGTAATACAGAAGGGAGTTATTGTTACCTTATATTTAAGTTTTAACTCGTAATACATTAATAAAGTCATAGCAGCGTGTTGATTAGTCGAGTTTCAAAGTTTTTTACAGCATCATCAAATCCATCTTTCTCATCCGGATGCCATTGTTTAGCGAGTTTCGCTTGAATATGTTAAGTGGATGAGAGTTTAATGATTTTGACGATCCATTCAGATTTAAATTCAACGTTTTATAAGTAAAAAAAATATATATATAGTAAAAATAATAACTTTTTAATGGCATCTATTCGTAAGTTTTAATGTATATATTTATTTTTAATGTCGATTATTTAGTTATAGTTTAGATCTAATTGCATTTTGAAGCAGTCCAGCAATATCATCGATATTTTAGTGATAAGTTTATGTTTTATTTTACAGGATGCTATGAAGTCAGTTGTGTTATTGAGCCTTCTTCTTGTGTTATCCTTAGCCATACATAGGCATAAAAAGTGTCCTAAGAAATGCCGATGCGAAATTTACGACGGAAAGAAAAAAGTGGTGTGCGATCAAGGAAACATGTATAAAATACCAACTCCGTTAATGGATAAAGACATCGAAATTCTTATCATAACAGCACCTGCGGGTTTTCCCAATATGCTAACAATAGGAAGAATCTTTATGGATTTTGAATATTTAGAAGAAATCCACATCACTCATTCTCACGTACCAGCAATTGGTGACAGCTCATTTTGGCCTGGAAAAAGGCTTCGACTTCTCAATCTGAGCCATAACAATATCTCAATTCTAAGAGACTCGGATTTTAACGGATTAAATAATCTACAAATTTTGAATTTAAGTGATAACAATATACAAGTATCAGAAATTCCATCCGCTTTGTTCAGGCATTTAACGAATCTCACTACTCTGTTATTAGCTAGAAATAAATTGCACAGTTTAGTTCCTCGTTTCTTTTATCTTTTATCGAACCTGAAATATCTAGATTTGAGTGGAAATCCTTTAACGGATTTAGACGTTGATATCATGAAAGATATCGGACATTTGACGATCTTGAAACTTGCCAATTGTCAATTATCCAAGCTCCATTCCATGTTTTATCAACAAGTTCCTAAACTTCAAGAATTGGATTTGAGAAGTAATTTAATGACGTCGATTTCCCCTGAAGAATTCAGGCACGTAAGAAATTTACGAATCCTTTATTTGCAAAGAAACGTATTAAAGAGCCTCAAAGAAAAGACATTCGACAAGCACAGTTTCGATTATTTGGATTTATCCGGAAATCAGATCGAAAGTATATCATCATGCGCATTTTGCAATGCTTCCGTTTATCATTTAGATTTATCCAGCAACCATTTAACAAGTTTGCATCCTCATACATTAGTTCCTTTTTCAAATTCCTTACAGTACTTGGATTTAAGTTATAATCACGTACCTATCGAAGACCTCTCTTTAGCTCTTCGACCCCTCTTAAAATTACGCAAACTGTATTTAATGGGTATGCAATTGAACGAATTAACTTCTGATGCATTTATAAACTTGGAGCAGTTAGAAATATTGAATTTATCTCATAATAACATATTCAACATTACTCCGAGCACCTTCGAACCTCTAAAGAAACTCGAAGCTTTAGACTTATCTAGAAACGAATTCCAACAACTTTCTTCCTCCGCCTTGAATATGTTCGACAATTTAACTTCATTGAACGAATTACTCTTATTTTCTAATCCATGGTCATGCGATACGTGCGAAGTGATTTATTTTATAAGTTGGATGAACAGCTCTTCGCTGTATAACGTTTCCTGTCAAGCAACTGCTGGCGATCAGAATTGTCTCAGATGTGTGTACCCTCTTTACTTGATTGGCAAAGAAATTCATAATTTAAAACCAGAAGAATTGGACGTATGCGAAGTAGAACCATTAGTAGCCAACGAGATGAGGGATCTCAGCTCAACTTCAAAAATTGGTTTGATTATTGCCGTAACGATAATTGTTATCCTCGTTTTGACTATTATAGTTATAATTATAATATATAAAAGACACGGTGCTGTATATTATACGAGAGAAGACGATCGGGGTAGGAACAGCATTTATGATAACCCGTCTATTGGAGGAACCAACGGTTTATCGGACGAGAAGAAATCCACATACGTATCGACTCTAGGAAGAATAGAAGAAGGAAAGGAAAGCGTTTCTTCTCCTATAACTAGCGTTGGTTGAACTCGAATCTTCCGTTTTAATGAAGATTATTTTACAATCGTATCGCTTATATCGAAACGCGATCGGAAGCTATACCAATCTAGGCCTATTTGAAAGTCTAAAGCGTCCAAATGCTGATGATCTGGAGGGAAGTTGCAAATATTAATATTTCTCTTTCGAATTATTGGTAGAACAAAGATGTATATTCACTGCCTCCGTGATATTATCCAGTGTAATGTTTGAGGAATTTGTTTTCGGTTTCGAAAGAACAAACCAACCTAAAGCGTCTTGTTCCTCGAGAAAGAAACTTTCGTGTCGTCTTCTCTAAGTTTTCAATAGAAAAACTATAGGGTTAAGAAAGTTTTCCACAATAAAATTCATTTCAAATCCAACAATTAGTATAATTACAATCTATAACTTCCATTAAGTTAATTATCACCAATCTAACCAATTACAACATTCCTTACGCGAAAATTATTTTTTAAAACTTTAAAACTGTATTTTTAAGTTAATATTTAAAAAAATTTTTTTTTATTTATAATTTCTTAAAAATTTATGATGTCGATGACCGACCGACGACCAATATTAATTTATTGACTTCAATGTTGTCCATGTTGCCGCTCCACTACACCAGTGGACTAAAATAGTTCCTTAGAATATATGCTAAATAACCGTACCAAAATAATATTTTGGCTTAGAAAGTAGCACACGAACGTGTGCCATTCATCATTCAACATTAGCTAAATCAAAAATTAAATTAGATTGTTCACATCATCGGATAGTTCATCCTGGTGGAATGTTTCAAAGTGGATGTATTCGTGTCTAAATGTAAAAAAAAAAAAAAAAAAAAAAAAATTTTTCTCGTGCAATAAGTAATGCACATCTACAGAAATTTTATATTTTGTAAAGGTGTATATTTATAAAATAGCGGATATCCAATATATNGAGCTTAAGATTACATTAATAATAAGCCGAACAAACTGCAATATTTTCAGGTTATAAGAGAATTCTAAGTAACATAACAAGCAGTGTATGTGCATGGTATGCAGAGTTAAGTTGGATAAATCTTTTCTTTCAGAATATCCTAAATTATCAAAAATCAAAGTAAATTTTAAATTATTGTCATAAGATGGTGGCAAAATTGCCGATCATCTTTAGGTCAAATTAATCTTTTTCTAACTTGAGAAATGCTACATGTAACATTATCTTTAAAACATTACAAAATATCTTGGTGAACATTTGTTATGATTACATTCAGATTTTAAACTATTATAATTAGCTATTCATTTTATTAATGTTCTTTTATATAAACACTTTTCAGCTCTCTTTGCAGTCTATCAAAAATGGTTATGATCCCATGTTAGCAATGGTTTTTGTATTCCTGAAGATGGGTTGAGAGGTCTAAAGTATAGATTGAATCATTACAATATAAATTGAATGTTTCTAAATTGAATATCCCCTAAAAGGAATCAAACCTTTGCGATAGAAGTGCAATACAATTCCGAAAATCTATATTGTACTATATTGTGGTTTTGTACTCATGATGTCAAGCTGCAAAGTATAAAGCACTCGGGATTAATAGATATTTCACATTTTGGTGTCTAAGGAAATAAATCACGTGACTTTTAACTTCGGTATACACTTTGTTACTAAATTACAAAACTTATATTTTTTTGAAATTACTTCAAATTTTAAAATAACACAAGCTGGGTCTGGGTCTAGGCCTTGGTAATTAATACTGGCTTCCTAATGTACTTAATCCATCAATGGTTGAGTGAATAAAATACTGGTAAGTTGATTGAAGGTTTATATCTGAACAATGGACTACTCACAAGTTTTGTGGGTTTCTTCACATATCTAACTCCTAAATAGGGTCAGTTTCCTATAGAAAGTCCTATTGAATGTATCCCTCCTTGCCAGATTGTCCAAGTGTTGCGTTGCCTTCTTTCATCAATCTGTCCATCCCAAAATGCTTAACTGCTTAAATGCTTGTCTTATCTGATATCAGATAAGGATATAATCTGAAAATACTGAAAATTTTTGATGCTGTATAGTGCCAAACAGTAGAGATTTTCATATGCAGTTATTTGAGATAATTTGACGAGCAGATTTCTCAACAGTGTCCACGGATCCCTGCAGGTCTGTGAATATGGCGATGGGGATTCTCGAGTTCATAGACAAAAAAGAATCATTATATTGTGCAAATTAAAAAAGTGATTCTTGTAATTTTTACCTTTATTAAAACACACATTAAAGTTTAAATTAAAAACATATAAAATCATTTGAGTTAAATGAAAATGTTTAAAGCACAGACAGTATTTTAATAAAGATAGTCTGCGAAAAGTTTTCTTTTCACTTTCTGTTATATTAAAGGGGTCTACTGGAAAGTGAAGGTTGAGAAACACTATGTTAATGCATGCCCTTGGGGTATTTTGTACTTATGCAGTATTATAAATTTAAGAGAAAATCTGTATACTCTTAATAATCTAACATTGATAAAAAAATTTTGAAATATTGTAGCTCTCACAATTTACCATATACAGTCTCAATTTGAGGGCAGATGTTATGAACTGAGAAAAAAGGTAACATAGAATCAAAAATGATAGATGATAATAATTTAAATATAGGCAATAATTTTGCCAGAACAGGGCACAAACTAGTTTATTAAAAAAACAGTCTCTGTGGAACATTGAGGCACTGGTTTCACATCTTGACTGGGTGAGTGGTGACAGCCTCCTAGAATGAGTTTGATTGCCATTTGAACTAGTTGATTACCTCCCATATAAAGTCGTCATCCATTATAAATTGCCATCTCTATAGATTTTTTCCAAGCGGCCCAAAGATGTGGTAGTCGTATGACAATGTGGCGTGACTATGTGGGATGAGAAAAAACCTTTTACGAACAACCCCACAGTCTAGTGAGCCTAAACTGACATTTACTGTTCCCCAAATTAAAATGCTTTGAGGGAGCCAATTCTGGAAATCAAAGTGGCTGAACAGAAGGAACTTAAACACCATTTCAAAAGAACCTCTCATGAGGCTATAAGTAAATTTGGGTGTAAAAATTTATATAGATCATGGAAGAATGTATTTTGAAGAGTGATACTAAATATAATAATTTCTGCCAAAAACATTTTTTTATTATAAATTCAGTCCCTGAACTGAATGGATGAACTGAATTGGAGGTCTGTAGTGGCAAAATTGGTGGAATGCCGGTGCATTTGGCATGTGATGACACTGGCTCACATAACACCAATGTTGTTACTTTAGTCCTTAACACGTTAACCACCATGTGATGCGCCAGCAGTCGTAGTATTTAGGGCCGTTCAGAGCCATACGACCACCGGTGGTCGGAGCCAACTTTATAGATGTGCACGAGAGGCCACCACTAGGATGCAAAACAACGTCTTACAAAGCCAGGATAATTTAACCTTGAGTGAAACTACATTGGTTATAGCGACATCGGGCACTCGTATGGCTCCATACGGCCATAATTAGTATCACCACCGGCATGTCTGATAGTGGTTAATGTGTTAAGTGCTGTCAATCGTTCAACGAATGATGTGTTTGTTGTATCTTTATAAGAAATGCCATAATAAATGTTTGTTAATAAAAACAATTTTATTAGTTTTTAATTCAATATTTATTTCCTTCAAAAGTTTTGCAATTTATATTGATTAATATAAACATTTTGTTTAATTTAATTAGGAAAAACTCTACGAAAAGCAACAAAGTAACCGAAACTAAGAATCATAAGAAACGTTCAAGAAAATAGATTTTTTTTTTTAAAGATATTTCAAAATGGAAATGTATCCTCCATGTAAGGATTTTTATTTACATGTTATGTTTAATAAAGTTTATATATTTTGGCAAATATAAATATAGAAGAATTTAAGTTTATTTTATATCCATTTTAACTCTTTATGCCCTCTGGGCACTAAGCAAGCCCATTATGGGAATTCCCATGAATATTTAACAATAGCTCAATTTGTTGTATCTGATCTGTTATGATTAAGTAAAATAGGTCAAAAATAGGGAAGTCATAGCAATTATTATAATTTTTATTTATGGCTGTCAATCCACATAAACATTGATGTAATTAGACATTTGACAAGATTGCTTACACCAGTGATTCTCAAAATGGGAGTCGCGACCTCCAAGGGATCATGAAAATTATTTCGGGGGTTGCAGGAAAATTGATGACGGATCAATTTTTTCAAATATTTTATAAATTTACTATGGATTCATGTTTAGAAATAGTAGATTCTTTTTGGCTTAGTGCGAAAGCAGAGTATCCACTACTCTCTGAATTATGAATTGGCAATGGCAGTTCTCTTACCAATTGCAACCACTTATTTATGCAAAAATGGCATTTTCAGTAATGACCAACATCAAAACAAAGCAGCACTCGCGTCTTTGCAACATAGAAATCGCTATGAGACCTGCACTGACTGATATTAAATCCAGGTTTAATTTATTGTGCCAAAATAAGCAGGCTCGCCCATCGCATTAAATTTAATTTAAAATATGTTGAACTTAACTAATTGAGTTTACTAATGTTGAAACATATACATAGAATATTTTGTTCAAAGATAAGATATTAATTTTTAATAATACTAAAAATAAATCTGATAATGATACTAAAAATAAATCTGCTATTAAAATTATGATTGTTTTAATGCAATTAAACAAAAGAAATTAACTCCTTCTGAATTTAAATTAATTCCCCCTTCGGGATGTTTTTCTACACATACCCATTCTTCAGGGGGTCCTTTGAAATTTTTAAGTGCAAAAGGGGGGTCGCGGACTAAAAACTTTGAGAAGCACTGCTCTAGAGGACTCGCGATCGAATTCGAGCGAGCAACTCCCCAAGAACTTTTCATAGGCGATAGGTCTAAGTCACGGATATATCAAGCCCGGCCCTTTACCACCCAGTCGTTACTATTCTGGGCCTGGTCGAATTGACAACGAGTATAAAAAAGTTTTAAAAAATTGACCTTGATACATGCAACACTAAGCAGCCCGAGATGAGTACTGTTAAATCGTTAGAAATCTAAAGGAATTTGCATTACTGAAAAGCCAAAAATTTCCATACAAACTGTTTCAGTTTTCAACTGTGTTGAAACTCCTGATGATATACCGACCATCTGCAAGGATTGAAAAAAATGTACATTTTCCTGTTATAAACATAGCAAGCAAGTAACTGTAAATATACAATTTTGAAATTAGTAACTTAATCATAGACTTTCATTGGGTTCTTTGCAAAGAACCCAATGAAGTCATAACCTGTTTGGATGACTACAGAAATAGCAATGTCTCGTTCGAAGCTTGCTTTACTCACACTAACAATATGGTATAGTCGGATATTCATGAAAATAAAATGTTACTGGCATATGTGTTTGTATTGTCTCTCCTTTCTCTTTTTAAAAATATCGAATTCTATTGAACATGTGTATTTCTTGACTACGTTGGGAAAAATGTACAAGCGCAAAAAAACATTAATAATAAAGGAATATTAAACAAAAAATTTTCTACAAGCATTATGTACTAAGCTTATCCAGAAAGTAAGTATCGTTTGGGTACCGGTATTAAAAAAAAAATTTGCAATTTGTTTTCATTTGTATTTTATTACAGAAAAATCTACATACCTTAAACTACTTTTCGACATATTCACCACGACAATTAAGGCATGTGTCATATCTTGGCACTAATTGCAACATACCCGCTTCGTAGAATTCGGCCGCCTACGACCTGAACCAGTTCAGGACGTTTACCTTGATCTCATCATCATGTGCAAAGTTATGAGATCTACAGCTTAATGTGAGACATTGAAGAAGTTAAGGTGCGCGATACAGAACAAAAGGCGTGGACTACTGACTTCTGGCATTTTGTTCGTGCATGACAACACGCGACCGCATACCGCACGCGTAACGACGACGATGCTTGATTCATTTCGCTGGGAACAATTCTGTCACTCTCCTTATAGTCCGAAGCTAGCTCCATCCGACTTCCATTTGTTTTCTCATCTCAAGAAATTTCTTGGCGTCCACCACTTTGTCGGCTGATCACTGTCATTCTCCATCCGGTGAATGACGGTAATCAGCCGACATATCAGGTCGGACAATCCCCCGAAAAATTCCTGATGATTTTTCAACCACGTTCGGATTCGATCCCGAGTCCCTAGAGCGGTAGATTATCACCTTGATTCAGCCGTCCGCAGTATTATACTGGTGCCTAAATAACTGACGTACTTTGATTTCAAACAACACTAAACATTTCTGACACAGATTCCCGATATTTATGCAAAATGTCGTTCAAATTTTCAATTATAATTTAGTACTGTATTAATAACATATTGACAAACTGAGTAGCCGTCCATAACATGTACCGGTACATGTATAAAATTATAATAAAATTCTGTTACAATAACATAAATAATTATAAAATAATATTTTACGTCGTATTATTTTTTTGCGACAATTAATAAATAAATATAATTTTAATTATTATTAATTCTGAACAATTTTTATTTTATATATTATTTCAGACTTCGATCTAAAGAGGGCGTCCGAATAAAATAGCTAGAAGGCGGAATGAATATCCTTCCTAAAAAGAGGTAAATTGTTATTATCAGAATGATTTATTTTAATATTTAACAAAGAAATCATCAATATAAACTGATTTTGAATTATTATTGACATTTATAAGGTGTTGAACAGTTAAAGATCCACATAACAAAGATGGCTTCCAGCAAAATGAGAACGAGTATTTTGGACAAACCATTAAGCAAAGGAAAGGTTGAAATTAACATAAGCACTTATGCCTTATTGTTCTCTGAAATAGTGCAATATTGTCAGAACCGAGTGTATACTGTTCCAGAACTACAAACAAAACTGTCACAGTTTGGTTATCATGTTGGGCAAAGAATTCTAGATTTGTTGTTTGTGAGAGAGAGAAATTTCAGAAGGGAAATCAAACTACTACAAGTTCTGTTATTTATAAAGTCTACTGTATGGAAAGCCATTTTTGGTAAAGAGGCGGACAAACTTGAACACGCAAATGACGACGATAGAACGTATTATATAATAGAGAAGGAGACTTTGGTACATAAATTTATATCCGTACCTAAAGATAAAGGAAATCTAAATTGTGCGGCATTCATTGCCGGTATTATCGAAGCCATATTGGTCGGTTGTAATTTCCCTGCTAAGGTTTCCACGCATTGGCATAAGGGTACGACCTTCATGATTAAATTTGAAGATTCCGTGATAGCTCGAGATAAAGCTTTGGAAGGGAAATAAAAAGATTTTGATATTTAGATTTAATTTTATTTACAAAATAAATACTGTTGTAATGTAATGTTGTATTTAAAAACTCTTAAAAAAAATTGGTATTTAATCCAATAACTCGTCAGATTTCGAAACTAATTTTAAACTGATAAAATATTACATTTTGTTACAATTGTGCTGAAGTATCTTAAAATTGAACATTAATTTCACAATATTGTATAATTTTGTTTTAATAAAAATAAAGATTAATTAACTTTTAAAATTTGAAATACTTTAAACAGATTGATATAATTTTTAATTGTAAAAAAACTAATTAAAAACTCATTTAATGTCTACTATTGCAAGTTACAGCTTACAGATTATAAAGTCTTTGTGTTAGTAGAAAATAATAATTTTAACAAAAAGTTATTAATTACTGTTGATGTGTCTGACATCGTTAACATAATTTTTGATTCTGTCATTGAAGTTAGATGTTTGAATAACAATAGTATTTTGAAAAAGACTATTCTTATTCAAAAAATAATAACAAACCATTAAGTAAAATATATATAAGGTTGAGTAACCTTTGAGAATAAATTTAGGATGAAATTAGAACCTTTAATAATTCCTAAGGGGAAATTAACGAAATTAATACTATGAAAATGTGTGTTGTTAGAGATGTAAGAAATTATTAAAAATTTCCTAATAGAATTCAATTTTTTATACAGTATTTTTTCTACAAAATAATCATTTCTGAATAGTAAAATATTTTACATCCCTTTACTGGACTGATGAGTGGTTAGGAAATCCCATCTTCCTGAAATTCCAATTAATTTTATTTGCTGGTACAGTATATGGTACTATAGTTTCATGTATTCTTCAACAGTAGTAAACAACATCCATTCTTGTGCTTTCTTTGCAAAATATAATGGTAAAATTATACTTTTGGTGCATTTTATCTGTGGACCACACCAGTCTGGGATTATGTGTAAATTTCAAAATTTCTTTCTTGTTTTTTTTTACACAAACACTCTGTGTTATTTATAGGTAGTTAGCCACAGAAAGATAGGTGATGGTATTGTCAAAGGGCTTAAAAGGTGATAAAGTGCAAAATAGCACAAATTTGGTTAGTTGCATCGAATGACTTTATGCTATTCTATGGTTTGGCATACTCACAAGTGGCCAATACTTATTTTTTACACAATTGTAAACATAATGTGTGTTAATACAAATGTTTTGTATTGCAACAAAAATGTTTAAAAAATGCATGATGCAGAATGATGCTACTGGCAGTTCAATGGTCACTAGAACAGCTACAGATTTCACATCTTGATGTACACTCTTTATCACATGAATTGTAACAAATTATATAGAAATTGGGAGGAGAATCAATGCAATAAGACCTCTAGAAACACACTTTGGCCCAGAAAGCAAGATGTAAAAGAACAGTAGATAGTAAAATTAAAACTGCGTAAAGTGCCTAAATTATATTTGTGCAAACCATTCTAAATTGATGTGTGAAAATTGTGTTTAATTGGAAAAATTGATCTACGAAGTTGCAAGTTATGTTATGAGTAAAGGTGCATATATAAAATTTTAAAATCTCTCATAATTTCATTTGACGTGATGGTGGTCCTTACCTCACCAGTCCATAAGGATAAAAATTAGGAACCAGTAAAGGTTATAACAATATGAAAATATAAAATAGTCAATATTGTTTTGTTATTAAAACTTTTAGTATACTTAACTTTAATTATAAACTGATTTGAAAACATTTAAAATATTTTCATTTAAAATGGTATCTTTTAACCTTATATGCACTTTTGTGTATAGGTAATCATATTTATACTGACCTTACATAAAATACTGTTGTCAATGGCCTCACTGCAAATGCTTTTGTTCAGTATCTGTATATTTCTGGGAATGGTCTCAAACACTCCCTTTTAAATATATCCTATAAAATTTACATTGCTAATGTTTCATTTATCTCAATAAAAGCTGATTTTAAGTGGGACATCCTGTATAATAAATATTAGATTTTACCTGAATTTCTACCAAAATATCAGTGCTTTAAATTGAAAAATATTTACCTAAAGTATTAATAATTCAAAAGTAAAATTTTTATATTTATATATATTTATGAATTTAATAATACATCAATTTAAAATTAAAAGAAACATATTGAAGTCAGATTAATTTTGTTTAAAGGTGGCATGTTCGAACCAAAGATAATATTGCACGAGTCAGAAGGGATGAAGCCAAGGCTGCTGAAGAAGAAAAAGAGCTACAAAGAAGAATAAACTTAGCTGTAATTTAAAAATTTTTTTGACATATCTTTGAATATATATTTTACATTTTTCATTTAATTGAAAATTTATAATGTTTATTATAAATTGCATTTCAATAACATTAGTATAAAAACAAAAATGTTAAGTTAATAATTGAATTTTGCACTAATAATATTTTGAAATTCCATACAAGATACAAAGATCAATGTTAATTGCTTTGTTTAGAGTTTGTTTACATACAGAGTAGTTATAATTAAACTGACAGTACTCAGAACAATGCAGAGAAGAATGTATTCAATAGATCACAGTTAAAATTAGCTTAAGAACATGGAGAAGAGAATCTACATATAAAAAATGATTAGCTTTCATGCCACCAGGTGGCTTGATGCACTAAAATAAAAATACCAAGTGGAACAACCTTTATTTTAAAAATCAAAATTTTCAATACATGAATCCATTAAATCCATTAGTATGCAAAAAGTGTTGGAAACAAAATTTGGCATGGTTCACAGTTGCTTGAAGCATGTCTTGAGGAATGGCTGAAACATGCCTTCAGTTCAGAAAATCAATGAACATTACCTAAGTNTTAATTTAAAAAAAATTCGAGTAAATACGTGGAAGTTTTTTTATTTACAATTGACGCCATCTGTTGTTTTATTAACGAACTAATTTTATCATTTTATTATCATAACAATATTTTCAAATATATTCTTAATTATAGGCGTAGAAGCTGATTGTATAAAATTAAAATATAGCTTCCAATTTACCAATTAGCTTATTATTTACTTGAAGTTTTGTTCACGTGTGTAATACCTAAATAAGGAGCCAGTTTCCCCGTACAAACTCCTGTCTGGAAACATCCCTTCCATTGACAAATTTGTTCAATCCCGATTATTGTTTTGCACGAATAATTATAAATTTAGTCTTTAATAAAAAGTAATTTTATATTAAATGAATACCTGGCTGGTGTCCAAACGGGTAGAGAACCCTTTGGAGGATCTTCTTGATTCTCGAAGACGAATCAAACGGGAAGACTGTAACATACTTTTCGAACAAACTCCTATAAATAAATAAATATTTGTCTTTAATTAAATTTTTATTTTTAAATATAAATTATATTTTACTAAATTGAATTTTTTGCATTTCTTTCCTTACGTAAAACCTCCGAACAACCGCCATAGATGAAAACATTTTTTAAAATGAAAAATGGCCGCTGTTTAGAGATGGCCGTTATTGGGAGATTCCATTGTATTTCTAATTTTTTTTTTAATTTGTCGTATGTAATATTAATATGGCGTTCATAACACGTGAAGCTGAACTATAAAAATAACCAAACTGTCAAAAGAAATTACTGTGATTGATTTGCTGAGATAAAATCTCTTTATTACTATTTTATGTTATTTATAATTGATAGTTTTTTTTAACTAACATTTACGAATTGCTACGTGCATTAAGTCTTATTAATTTAACAGTTTTAAGTATTCTTATTTTATTACAAAATTACTTCAATACTTTTTTCATTTAGCTGGATCGAATAATAATGGCGGCTTCAGTATTATACTGTAGCTTACTGCTATTTACAGTTAATATACAAATTACGTCATTTGTATAATAACTATAAAGTGTAATTTATTTATATAGCTTATATATGAAAATTTCTTTTTTTATTTATTCTTATATAATACAATTAATATTGCATTGATAAAATATAACACTTCATAAATCGAAAATATAACCAACAAAAATACAAAGATAGCACAGAGGTAGATGACAAAATCTCAATGGTTGTGATTTTTGTAATATTAATCCAATATGTTGACTAACGATGACATCAGAAAAGATTATGGGTGCTTCTACCAGGCAAGTAGCTGAGTAAGCAAGCCAATGACAGAGTCCATTTTATATGAAGCGAAGTTTTCATTGGTTTGCTTACTCAGCAGCTTGCCATCTAGAGGCACCCAATAATTCATTTGTTTCGAGACAGTTGGTATTGCACTTTTACAATATTTTAGTGATGTGTGTCATGAAATTTTTATTTATTTATTATTTTTACATTACTCTTTCTTTTCTATTACAAGATTCATATTATTACAATTATTTTACTTCATCATACAGTATTTATATAATTTTATACAGTATATAAACCCTCTGTTCATAAAAAAACTGACGAATGAATTTTCTGATTTTTAACTGATTGATCTGCATTCTGAAAAATATTTTTGTTTTATTTAATGTAACAATTTTACGTGAGCAATTCTAATGTTATATATTATGTTAACCTGGTTATGATATATATAATTTATTAAATAATTATAGAAAACTATTCAAGAATTCCGTTTTTCTACTTTTTCTTACGTTATACGCTTAAAACTTATGATTACGAGCTGCCATTACGTTTAATAATATTATCAACATTAAATACCAGTGGGGTGATGAAGTCACATTAGCCTAAGACTGTGAAATAAGAATTTCCACAGATGTTTAGTTCCACCTAACTCAAGTGTATAATGTTCTCTTATAGTCCTATCATCTAGAAAATCAGCTCTTAAACTCAATCCAAGACTGCCATTAATGTTTCGCGAATATTCTGGATAAAAACATCATTTTCATTTCAAAGCCATGCTGGTGACCCCGTTGAGGATTAAGCATCTATAATAGACAAAACAACTAGTAGGCCGGATGGCCAATACAATTAAAGTGTTAGCCTACCTCAGGGATGGCAAACTTTTTTGCCATAATATGCATAATCTTTAAAGCTAAATATGCTAACTATATGCGTGGCATATAGTTAGCATATTTAGCTTTAAAGATGTTTATGCGTGCCAAAGTTTTAGACTTCCAATAACGGAGAAATTAAACTAATATGCTTTAATTAGAATAAATGTAAAAAAGTTGATTGAAAATAGGACGATCAGGTGATAAACCAAAAGGATGATTGAAAAAGACATGGTAAATCGAAATCGCATGATACGTTTACGTGCCAGATGATTTCTTCTTACGTCCACGCGTGTCATAGGTCGCCACTCTTGGCCTACCGCTCTGAGAAATCTGGGATCGAATCCGGGAAAGTCGAAAAACCCCAGAAATTTTTCGGGGTGGTCTCTCCCAGATACGCAGAACTCCGTTCCTTACCGCCCAGCTGCTCATTGCGGGCCTGCCCAAATCCACAATGGGTTTACAAAAGTTCCTCTTAGTGTCCACAAAAATAAAACAGTATAAAATTAAAACACCGATAAAATTAAAGCTAGCAAAATAACTTATTGTTTGTGTACTAAATAAAAAAATTTCAATTTGGAAGACAGAATTAAAATTAATAGTGATTTAGATTGGACGACCGGATGGCCGAGATGATTAAAAGGCTTATTGCTCTAGAGCAGTGATTCTCAAAGTGGAGGTCGTGTAAAATATTTCGGGGTCCCAGAAAAATTGATGACAGATCAATTTTCTTTTAAATATTTTATAAATTTACTATGGATTCGTGTTTAGAAATAGTAGATTCTTTTTGGCTTAGTGTGAAAGCAGAGTATCCACTACTCTCTGAATTAGCAATAGCAGTTCTCTTACCATTTGCAACCACTTATTTATGCAAAATGACATTTTCAGTAATGACCAACACCAAAAGAAAGCAGCGCTCTCGTCTTTGCAACATAGAAATCGCTATGAGACCTGCACTGGCTGATATTAAACCCAGGTTTAATTTATTGTGCCAAAATAAGCAGGCTCACCCATCACATTAAATTTAATTTAAAATATGTTTAACTTAACTAATTGAGTTTACTAATGTTGAAACATATACATAGAATATTTTGTTCAAAGATGTACCAAAGATAAGTTATTAATTTTTAATGATACTAAAAATAAATCTGCTATTAAAATTCAATGTTTCAATGCAATTAAACAAAAGAAATTAACACCTTCTGAATTTAAATTAATCCCACCTTCGGGATGTTTTTCTACACATACCCATTCTTCAGGGGGTCCTTTGAAATTCTTAAGTGCAAAAGGGGGGTCGCGGACCAAAAACTTTGAGAAACACTG